GCTGGGCCCACTGCTTTGGTTTCTTAATGTTGAATTTTAGCCTTTGTTGGCATTCGGCTCAGGCTGAGGAGGGAGGTGGGTGATGGAGGTAGAGATTTGCGAGCCGTCAGATACGGGCATAACCGAGCTACACTCCGGGTACTGTCTCTGGGAGAGACCTCTGGAACCAGGATGGGGATGGAGAGAGGATACTTGGAAGCAGATGGGCCTTGGGGAGACGGGCAGTGCCAGTCAAGCGAGGACCCAGTTACTTTGGAGCAAGTGATCTTGAGAAATGAGATGTGGTTGGATTTGGCAATGAAAAAGATGGTTTTTATTTCAGTGGTGCAAATCCGAAATGGTATTAAAAGAATGAATGGGGATCAGCAGATGGCATGGAGGTTAGGGTGGCTAGACCCCACATGGCAACAGTGTGGTTCAAATCCCAGACCCACTGATTTGAAAAATCACACACATGCCGGGCATGTGTGTGGGCATGCCTAAAATCCAGAGAGGATGGAGAAGGGGTTCCCATGTGGCTATTCCCCTGGGGGGTGGTTCTCATGTTCCCGCTCTGTCTCCCTGCCCCTCTCCAATGAGCACACGTCCCTATGGCAAACTAGCAACAACAACAAAAACAATAACGAACGGGCAATTTGGATAGAAGGCACCAGCGTAAATGTAAAGAAGTTTTCAGTAAGTGAGAAAATGGTTACTTGACTAGGAACCAGAATTCAGGGAAGAATTTTTATAAAAAATATTCATTTAATTCCAATTGTTATTATTATTATATTTGATTTCCCAGGCGGCTCTAGCAAGCCACCTGCTCCAGGACTCAGACCGCGGTCTGCCATGTGGGATCCAGCACCTTTGGCTGCTTTACCACCTCCCGGCCCGGGGAGAATTTTTATGGTTAGATGGCTAAAGTGTATTTGTGAGCAGAGAACGAGCTTACCAAAAAGATGCCAAAAGGGCTAACTTGTGGCCTGGTTAAAGTGCTTGGACCCCACATAGCTGACTTTGTGGTTCAAGTCCTGGACCCAGCAGCTTGAAAAAACATGTAGGTCCATGCACATGCATGCTCAAAATCCCAAAAGGAGGGAGAGATGCAGAAGGGATTGCGTGTGACCGTGCCCCATGGGGATGCCTTCTTGCTTCCCCTCTCTCTCTCATTCTTTCTAGCAAGTGTACGTACACTCTGGCAAAATTAGAAGGATAACAAAGGCGTGAACAGAAGGATGGGGTGAGTATGGGGAAAACAGCTCCAGGAAGTGAGGGATAGATTTCTTCCCCGCTAGAGGGGAAAAAGTACGATTGGAGTTGGAGGGAGGGATGTTGGATGAGGTAGCAGCTGTTGGTCTTGGGGCAGGAGGCCCTGTGATCTGAGACTAAGCGGAACAGGCGGGGATGTCGGAGAGTTGGCAGGGTAGGTGTTTGAACCAGGTGCTGAGGTGCAGGAGATGGTTGAGAAATGGAAGGGTTCCGAACGAGATAGAAAAAAAGATTCCTGATGGGACCAGCAGGTGGCGCTGAGGTCGAGGCCGCTGGACCCTGCGTGACTGGCAGCGCGAGTGCTGGTCCTGGGAGCTGGTGTCTCAGTTTCCCTCTCTTATTTCTCTGTCTCTGTGTCTCCCTGATGAGCTCATGTGTCCTATAGCAAAACTTTAAAAAATTGTGATGAGGATCAATACAGAAGCCAAAAGTGATTATTTATTTATGTATACTTAGTTTATAGGGTTCCCTGGGATCATTTCCTGTGAAGCCAAGTGCTGTTTTATAGAAATAGTGCACGGAGGGGCTCTGAGCTACAGACTCATTGTCACTGAGGATATTTTTAGATTTGCCCCATTTTTTCCTAACGGAGAAAATAAAACGAGGTGAAGGCAGCCTTTTTTTTTTAAATTAAGACAATAGAAATTAATAATGCTTACTTCTTCTAGGATATTCTTTTTTCCATTTTTAAAAATGATAATATAATTGCAAATAGCAGATTTCCCCCTTCTTAGGGTGTACAGTTCCGTAATCGTTACCATGTAGGTGTTGACCTGTCGGGGCTGGCAGGAGGCATGGTGGTCACAGGCACTAGACTCCCACATGGGTGACTAGTTGAAGTCCTGGACCTGGTAGCTTGCTTTTTCAGTTTCTCTCTCTCTCTGGTCAAATAAATAAATACAATAAATTCTTTAAAAATGATTATTTAATTTTATTTGTTATTATTTTGTAATTTGACCAGAGAGCGGGAAAGTGAGAAGGCAAGCTGCCAGGTCTGGAACTCAAACCACAGTTCACCATGTGGGACTCCAGTGCCCTTGACCGCCATACCACCTGCTGGTCCCAAATTAAAAAAAAGAAAGGAAAATATCGATCTATCTTGTCTTTATTATTTTAAGTTTGTTTTTTTTTTTGTTTTTTTTTTTTTTTTTTTTTTGCCGTAAAGTGTGTGCAATAGCTGGAGTGAGACAGAGAGAGGAAGTGGGGAGTCACGCCCTGACCCCGAGATGTCTACGTTACAGACCCTTTTCCATCTGCTCTTGGGGTCTGGGGCACGCATGTACAGGCACTTGGCATGTTTTTTAAGCTCCCAGGTCCAGGGCTCGAACTGTGGAGTCGGCCATAAGGGATCCAGTGTCTTAACCATCACATCACCTACTGGCCCGATCTGTCTTTTAAAAAAGAGAATTCTAGGATAAGAATTTAAGATTTGGGCCAGTTCTGGCCTGGCTCCAAGGCAGCGGGCTCCCACATGGGCTAGCCCTGTGGTTCAAGTCTCAGATCCAGCAGCTTGAAAAACACATTTGACACACGTGCATGCCCTGAATCCAGGCAGGGTGGAGAAATGCAGGAGAAAAGATTGCAGTGTGATTATTCCTCAGAGAGCACTTCCCCCCATCCCGCTCTCTCTCTCTCTCTCTGTCTCTCTGTGAGCATATTGCAAGATTAAAAAAGAGTTTAAGAAGATTCAGTGAATCTTAAAAAAATTGTGTGCTACAGAGATGTGCAATGATTGAATGTAAATAATAAATTATAAAAAAATTACAAATTAAAGAATACTTTATTTAGAAGTTTAAAGGATCATTCATTTAATTTTATTTATCATTTTAAAAAGATAATTATTTACTTAGTTCCATTTGTTATTATTATTTTTTAATTTGACCAGAGAGAGACAAAAGAGAGAGAAAAAGGGAAAGCGAGACAGCAAGCCGCCAGGTCCGAGCCTCAAACTGCGGTCAGCCCTGTGGAAATCCAGCTCCTTTAACCACCATGCCACATGCCAGCCCCCCTTATTATTTTCTAAGAGAGGCTTTTGCTCTAGGACGTGTGTGCTCTCCAAAGAGGGAGAGACAAAGAGACAGAAAGTGAGAAATCACCCCCCAGAGTTGTGTGCTGGGGATGGACAGTGGTCAGTGGCCCCATGTTTGTATTTTGGCTGGAGGGTGCATACACTCATATGAGACGGAGAGAAAGAGCACGCCCCCGGTGGGGACTAGCTATACTGTAACCCATGCTGTGTCCCATGGGGGGACGTGCACACGCGCCCCGCATGTTCAACCTCTGGGGCTTGGATTCCAGCTGTAGGTGGTCATGTGGGCTCTGGCTTCCTGAGCACGGTGCTTAAACTGCGCTGTATTACACCCCGCGTTACGCCAGTGAGCACTCCTTCTTGGCTTCTTAACTCTTCTGCAACCCGTTGTTTTTGCTTCATTTTGAGAGGTTTTTGTTATAGGGTGTGTGCGCTTGCCAGAAAGACAGAGAAAGAAAGAGAGACAGAAAGCGAGAAATCACCCCCCAGGGGGATGGCCACGCCGCAGTCCCTTCTCCTCCATTCTCCTCTCGGGATCCTGGGCACGCACACGTACGCACCTGCCCATTTTTTTAAATTAAGAATTATTTAATTTTATTAAGTATTATTTATTATTTTTAAAAGAATTATTTGTTTAATTTTACTTATCATTTTCTGTTTTTTTTGTTTGTTTGTTTAATTTGATGGGGGCGGGGGGGGGGGGAATGAGAAAGCAAGTTGCCAGGTTTGGGATTTGAACTGTGGTTGACTATATGGGAGTCTAGCATGTTAACTACCATGCTACCTGCTGGCTCCAATTATTTATTTATTATTTTATTTTCTTAGTTTTTAGAGAGAGATTTTTGACATGGGGCACCTGTGCTCACTGTAGAGATAGAGACAGAGAGACAAAAAGCAAGAAACAATCCCTCAGGGAAGATGGCCTTTATGAACTCCTTTATGTATCTTTTGGCACAATGACATTGGCATAATGCCAACCAGAGGTGTGGTAGTTTAGGGGGCTGAATCCCCCATGGCTGACTTCAAGATTCTGGACCCAGTGGTCTGAGAAACGTGGTGGGTGTGGGTGTGTGAGTGCCCCAACTCTCAAAAGGAAGGAGAGATGAGAAGGGATTGTGGTGTGACCATTCCCCATAGGGGATTGCTCTCTCACTTTCCTTTTCTGTTGGTCTCTCTGTGTTTCTCTTTGGGGTGTATGTGCCCCTGGCAAAAATTAAAAACAAAACAGGCTTTTACTAGATCAATAGGAGTTTTATGCTAGGGCATGCAACTTAGCATGTAATATATCTATCACAATGATAAGTGTTTTTTGTTTTCTTTTTTAGAGAGAGAAATTTTTGCTGTAGGGCATGTGTGTTTGTTAGAGAGAGACAGACAGACAGACAGACAAAAAGTGAGAAATCACCCCCTGGGGGTGAGGAGGATGGCCACGCGCAATTCCTTTTCCTCTAGTCTCGTCTTGGGATCTTGAGCATGCACATACATGCGCTTGGCATGAGTTTTAAGTCACCGGGTCTGGGATTTGAACTGTGGTCGACTAAGTGGGAGGCTGGCGACATAACCATTACACTATCTGCAGGCCCCAATAAGTGGTTTTATAATGGAGTTCTTTTGCTTTTACTGTTGCTTTCTACTTTTGATACTTATAACCTGCCCTTATCAGTCTCAGAATGCTGTAAGAATGTTATTACAAGTGAACTTATTTTTCTCTTTATCTTAGGAGGAGCCAGCATATCCAGGCTATAATTCTAATTACTGGAATTCTTCTGCACGGCCCAGGGCTCCGTACCCAAGTACATATCCTGTAAGACCAGAATTGCAAGGCCAGGTATGGTTTAAAATCGACAGAACTGGTCTGAATTTTTTCATAATGAATTGGTTTATTTCAGAACCTGTGGGGATTTCTGGTAGTGATCTGGACTTTTTATTTATTTATTTATTTATTTTGCTATAGGGCACATGCACTTGCCAGAAAGACAGAGAGAGACAGAGAGACAGAAAGCGAGAAATCCCCCCTGGGGGGTGGGGGTTGGCCACATCGCAATTCCTTCTACTCCATTCTCCTCTCGGGATCTTGGGTACACACACACATGTGCCTGGCATGAGTTTAAGCCCCCGGATTTGGGACTCAAACCATGGTCAACTACGTGGGAGTCCACTGACATAGCTATTGTGCCAATTGCTGGTCCTGTTTTTTTTTTTCAATTATTATTTTTTAAATTTTAACTTTATTTATTTATTTATTTAAATTTGACCAGAGAGGGACAGAATAAGAGAGAGCAGGAAAGTGAGAAAGCAAGCCTCCAGGTCTGGGACTTGAACCTTGGTTGGCCATGTGGAAATCCAGCGCCCTTAACCACCACACCCACCTGTTGGCCCCTATTTGATAGGTTTTATAAATCTTTTTTTTTTTTTTTGAGAGAGATTTTTGCTATGGAGCATGAGTGCTCGCTGGAGACACGTAGAGAGAAAGCGAGAAATTGCCCTCCAAGGGTGATTTCTATGCCACAATCCTATCTCTCGGGATTTTGGACACACACATGCACCCAGCATTGAGTTGTAAGCCGCTGGGTCCAGGACTCGAACCTCAGTCCACTACATGGGAGTCCAGTGGCATAACTATTATGCCATCTGCTGGTCCCAGATTTTATAAAATCTTAAAAATTCTAATTCAGAAATAGCCCTAATAAACCAAGAATGCATAATTTCAAGCTTTTTTATTCCCCGAGGCTGTGTAATTTACATCCATCTTTTTTTTTAAATAATTATTTTATTCATTTATTTAATTTTCATTTGACCAGAGAGAGAGAGAGCAAGAGAGGGAAAGTGAGAAAGCAAGCCACCAGATCCGGGACTTGATCCATGGTCGGCCATGTGGGAGTGTCCAGCACCTTAACCATCACGCCACCTGCTGGTCCAACATCCATCTCTTTTTAAGAATTACTTAATTGTATTCATCATTATTATAATTTTTAAATTTGCTACAGAGCATGTACACTCACCAGAGAGAGAGAGTGTGTGTGTGAGAGAGAGAAAGCAGGCCACCAGGTCTGGGACTTGAACCGCGGTTGGCCATGTGGGAGTCTAGCACCCTACCACCGTGCCACCTGTGGGCCCCCACCCATTTCTCTAGAAGCTGTAAACGTGGCTGCGGCCAGTCCTGGAGGTCGGCTAGCCTGCTGTGCTCCTGGTGCGCTCCACGGCTATGCAGGTCTCAGGGCAGACGTGGGAATCAGACGTCCCTTATTTTTCAGTCTCGCTCTGCAGCAGGGTGTTGAGAGCAGCGTGCAAGCGGGTCACGGAGCAGGGTGTGAGAAACACGGAAGGCACGTGCGCAGAGGCTGTGTCTCCAGACGCATAGGATACAGTCTCACCATCCATTCATAGTGTCGCGTCTGGGTCAGTTTTGGGGGAGTAGCATGCACCCCTTGTACAGTTTGCGTGAAAGTGCGTTTGCTCCTGCCGTCTCCGGGTTGATGGGCTCGGTCCGTGATGGGCTTCGTGAGGCTTTCTCTGAGCTCCTCAGACCAGCAGAGTTGCTGCTGCTTTGCTCCGTCCTTCCTCCCCACCTCCTCCTGGGGGCCCATGGCACCTCCTCCGCTGGCCGTGGCCCGGGCTCTGCAGTGGTGCCAGGACGCGTCTGTGACCGCACTGCGCTTCGCCGAGGACGGTCCAGGTGCTCTGTAGACGGTGGGGCGGGCTGGGACTGGCCCGAGGACGGTCCAGGTGCTCTGTAGACGGTGGGGCGGGCTGAGGCTGGCCCAAGGATGGTCCAGGTGCTCTGTAGACGGTGGGGTGGGCTGGGACTGGCCCGAGGACGGTCCAGGTGCTCTGTAGACGGTGGGGCGGCTGGGACTGGCCTGAGCTCATCCTTAACAAAGGCGCCAGGGACCACAGGCCGGCACCATTCTTCCGCTCCACGGCCTTCGGTAACCTTGGTTGTTTGGAAGAAGGCGTGAACTCAGGAAGGATTTCAGTCAGAAAGTATTCGTAGGTCAACACACAGGTCTCCAGCCGTGTGCCCCGTTACTTGGTTCTTCGTCTCAGCCTCCTTCTCTCGATTCCTGTTTTTCAGAGTGTGAATTCTTACACAAACGGAGCATATGGTGCACCGTACCCTCCTGGCCCTGGGGCGAATGCCGCCTCGTACTCTGGGGCGTACTATGCACCTGGATACACTCAGACCAGTTACTCTACCGAAGTTCCCAGCACTTACCGTTCACCTGGCAATAGCCCAAGCCCGGTCTCCCGGTGGCTGTACCCACAGCAGGACTGTCAGACTGAGGCGCCCCCTCTCAGGGGCCAGGTTCCGGGGTACCCTGCTTCACAGGTGAGCAGTTTTCTGTTGGGGGGAGACAATTTAGCCTCCGCCTCTTGGGCTGTGAACAGTCTGAGGTTCAGGGCGAGGCTCACTGTCTATGCTAGTGCTGAAGTAAGGGCACACTCAGCCTTGGTGACCTCCTACTGGCGGTTGCGAAGGGAGGGACTGCTTTCATTTATTTATGTCCGCAGAGAGATTTATCCTACAGGGCGCACGCACTTGCTGGAGAGACAGAGAGAGACAGAAAGTAAGGAATCACCCCCCCGGGGAGATGGCCACACCACAATCCCCTCTCCTCTTTTCTCCTCTCAGGATTTTGGGCACACACACATATGCACCCAGTGTGAGTTTTAAGCAACTGGGTCCGGGACTCGAACCATGGTCAACTATGTGCAAGTCCAGCAACATAGATGTCATTGTGTCATTTGCTGATCCCACTTTTTTTTTTTTTAAAGAATCATTTTATTTAACTTTATTTATTTACTTATTTTAGCTTGACCAGCGGGGACAGAGAGATGAAAAGTGAGAAAGCAAGCTGTCAGGTCCAGGACTCAAACCGCAGTCAGCCATGTGGGAGTCTAGTGCCCTTGACCTCCATTTCATCTCCAGGTCCCACTTATTTACTTTTTTGCGTTTTTCTAGAGGGTACATGTGCTTGCCAGAGAGAGAAGCAAAGAGAGAGAAAGTGAGAAATCACCCTCCAGGGAGACGGCCATGCCACAATTCTTCCTTCTCTATTCTCCTCTTGGGATTTTGGGAACACATGCACAAACACCTGGCATGAGTTACAAGCTGCCAGGTCTGGGACTACAATAGACCAGGTAGGCATCCAGCACCTTAACCACTATGCCATCTGTTGGCTCTTATTTTTTTAAGCATTACTTAGTTGACTACATGGGAGTTCAACGACATAGCCATTACATCAACTGCTGGTCCCTATTATTATTATTTTTAATTTACTATATATCATATGTGCTAGAAAAATTGAGAAACCAAGCCTCCAGGTCTGGGACTCAAACCATAGTCGACAGTGTGGGAGTCCAGCACTTTAACCACTACACCACCTGCTGGCTGCTTTTATTTTGATGTCTGCCTTCCTTATGCCAGTGTTGGCAGTAGATGGATTTTGACTATGGTGCTTGAAAGAGGCCATCATCATCAAATTTTTATACTGAAAATTCTTTTTTTTTTAATTTTAGTTTTTCATTCACTTACTTCAGTTTGACCAGAGAGAGACAGAGAGAGAGAAAGTGAGAAAGCAAGCCACCAGGTCCAGGACTCAAACCATGGTCGGCCATGTGGGAGTGTCCAGTGCCTTAACTACCATGCCACCTGCTGGTTCCCATATACTGAAAATTCTTGAGAGAGTTGTTGTTTGAAAGTTTTCCTATTTTGGGCCAGCAGGTGGTGTGGTGTTTAAGGGCTCTGGACTCCCACATGGCTGACCACGGTTCAAGTCCCAGACTTGGTGGCTTGCTTTCTCACTTTCTCTCTCTCTCTCTCTTATTCTGTCCCTCTCTGGTCAAAGGAAAAAATAAATAAAGTTAAATAAAATAATTATTTAACTAAAAAAATTTTCCTATTTTAACCTGAACACTCTGTAAGTTTATGTTAGTGAATATCCTGTAAAGGATAACCCTGTCTGTCTCTCTGTTCTCATCAGGGGTTCTAAATGTGTCTTCACTTGTTCTTCCCTACCGTGTATCAGCCCATTTGTCTACACTGTCTATGGGACAGACTCATACTGTGCTGTGGCCGTGAATTTTAGGCGTATTGCTTCTGTGTTTGATGGTCACCAGATCTCCCCCTGGTGTCTTTGGAGCCAGGTTTTCTTAGGCCTGGAGAAATGAGTGCGGCTGCGGAGGGTTGCTGTAGCGTAGCCCCAGTGCAGCTGTCGGGTGCTGTGCTGAGCAGGCAGGAAGCATCGCAGAGTGCCCATCCTGGACTCTCTATCCCTTCTCTAAGTTTGGTTTTGTTTTTCATTTTTCTAGCAACGACCAACCTATTTCTTCCTCTCCATCTAGAACCCTGGAATGGCCCTGCCCCAGTATCCCTACGGGGATGGTAGTCGGAGCGTCCCACAGGCAGGACCCGCCGCACGACCACAGGAGGATGCGTGGGCCTCTCCCGGGGCTTACGGCATGGGCGCCCGCTACCCCTGGCCTTCAGCTGCACCCTCAGCCACCCCCGGGGCACTCTACATGACCGAAGGCACTTCTTCGTGGCCTAGCAGTGGCTCCCCTCAGTCACCGCCATCCCCACCACCCCAGCAGCCCAAGGTGAGAGGCCTTGGGAGCCTTGTCCCCTTGATGGTGGGGAACTCTGCGAGCTAACCCTGAGCTGTTCTGCGTAGGCCTAAGATACAGGGGAGCTCATTCCAAACTACACGCTGCCCGGAGCTTTACCTCAGTCCGGTTTCCTTTGTTTCTTAGTTTTCTAATTGGTTTTATTTTTTAGAGAAGGTTTAGGTTCACCTCCTCCTTTTTTTTTTTTTTTTCCCCGAGAGAGATTTTGCTATAGGGTACATGCACTCGAGACGGACAGAAAGGAGACCTCGCTCCTCGGGGTTGGCCATGCCACAGTTCCTTCTCCTCCATTCTCTCGGGGTCTTGGGCATGCACACACACATGCACCTGGCGTGAGGGTCCAGTGATGTAACCACTGTGCCATCTGCTGGTCTCCACATTCTTCTTTTTTGTTTTAGAGATTTTTGCTATGGGGTATGTGTGCTTGCCACGGAGACAGAGAGACAGAAAGTGAGAAATCACTGCCCTCCCCCCAGGAGTGTTGGCCATGCCACAATCCTTTCATGGATGTGGGACTTGAACCATGGTTGACTACATGGGAGTCCCATGGCGGAGCCATTACGCCATCCCCTGTACCTCCACATCCTTTTTTAAGAGAGGTTTTTGCTATAGGGCACGTGTGCTCTCCAGAAAGACAGAGACAGAGGACAGAAAGTGAGAAATCACCCCCCAGGGGGAGGGCCTTGCTGCAATCCCTTCTCCTCCATTCTCCTCTCGGGATCTTGGGCACACACACACACACACACACACACACACACACACACACATGCCCAGCGTGAGTTTAAGCCACCGGGTCCAGGACTCGAACCGTGGTAGACTACATGGGAGTCCAGCGACATCGCCATTACGCTAACTGCTGGTCCCACCACATCCTTCTTTTAAAAGACAGAAAATATCCACTTTCTCTTTGTTGTGATAGTGTCTGAATATTGAATACAATTACAAAGTGCTTTCCTACCTCCCGTGAGCTGTACACGGAAGATAAAGCCAGTGCGAGATAGCTGCAGTGTTAGTGTTCGGGCGCTCAGTCGGATGGACTTGCATATCATGTGGGTATTTCTTTCTAAGCCCCGTGGAGGGATTTTAACTCTTCAGGGGGGAAACTACTTCTTATTTGTTAAGTCACTGGATGGATTGTGACACCTTAAGGTGAGGACGGACTGTGAGGTGTTCAGGACGATGACCTACCTAGGGGCAGGTTCCGACCACTGCACTCAGGAACCCTCTGCCTCCTACCGACAGGGCACTGCCTTTATCTTCTTCAGACTGTGTATTTCTCAAAAGATCATGGAGGGAATGCCCAGTTGTATTGGTGGGGAATCTCTCCTGGACCTTCCTGGCCAGGTACAAGATGTGTGCTAGCAAACCCGATGTCCATGGGTCCCTGTTAAACAGCTCTCTTCCTTCTCTCGCTCTCCCGCTCCAGGAGCCCTCATACCCCTATAGCCAGTCAGATCAAGGCCTGAGTCGGCACAGCTTTCCGTGCAGCGTCCACCAGTACGAGCCCTCGGGGACCATGAACAGTGATCACCCGGAGCTCCTGGATGCCCGAGTCCAGTACAGCGCCGAGCCGCAGCTGTACGGCGGTGCCGCCAGCGACCACCCCAGCAGTGAGGACCAGGGCAGCCATCTCCCCGAGGAGTGCCTACCTGCACAGGAAAGTACGCCTCCAGGGATTAAGAAAATCATCCACGTGCTGGAGAAGGTCCAGTACCTCGAACAAGAAGTAGAAGAGTTCGTGGGGAAAAAGACAGACAAAGCGTACTGGCTCCTCGAGGAGATGCTGACCAAGGAGCTTCTGGAACTGGATTCGGTTGAAACTGGGGGCCAGGATTCGGTCCGGCAGGCCAGAAAGGAGGCCGTTTGTAAGATCCAGGCCATACTGGAGAAATTAGAAAAGAAAGGGTTATGAAAGGATTTAGAACAAAACAAAAGCCTGTTACTAACTTGGCCAAAGAACTCTTGCTTTTGGTTAATTACCCTCTTTTTGAAATGCTTGTTGACAAGAAGCAATACATTCCAACTTTCCTTTGGTTTAAAACTTGAAAAACTGGCAAAGGAATGGAAGAACATTTTAGTTCTGAGTTGTTTTCGGTTTTCAGACGAATGAATGTAATAGGACACTGTGGAGTTACTGATATTGCCAAGCAGACTCACTCCTTGCGCGATCTGTGGGTATTTGCAAGCTGCTTCTTCCCAGCAGGAGGGGAATATGCTTTATGTAACAGGCTTATCTGAGACCTGCCAGATGAGACTGGAGAAAAGCGGAGACCAGCAGGCCGTGTTCTCCGACATCTGGACTGTCATGTGTCTGTACATCGTGACTGCTTTCAGCGTGCACCCTGTGTAAATTACAGCTTCGAGTCTAGCCTTCTTGGACTGTTTCGTTTTGTTATTTGCAGTTCACAAATATAGTATTATTCTCTATTTCTTGGTACATTTTGTAGTAATATGTTTAATATAATTATTCAAGAGACTATATTGACAGCCGGATGGCATTGCCATTGAATGTGTACCTTTCCAGCACTTGACCACGTTGCAGTGCAGTGAGTTCTTGAGGTCAGTCGCCTCCCCTTTTGTACAGCCCGTTAGATTAGAGTTTTCATCCTCCTTCCGTGGTGGTAGTGAGAAGTAAGTAGGAAATGGCATTGACATAAGGACGAGAATGTTCGTGGACGCTTTTCTTTTCTGCTTTTTAAATTGTATTTGTATAAAGATCCACTCTAAAATCGCCTTTTCTTTTTAAACAAAGTGTAATTATCTCCTCGCGGTTGCTGCTTCCATAGAGCACGGTGATACAGATGAAAAATGAAATGCCACAGTGAGTAGAAGTCTTGACTACGAAAAGTAACGGGTGTGATCGTTTGGTGGTAATGCTGTTCTCAAGCTGCAATGCTGGTTTCACCATCAAGGCCCTTATCGGCAGATTTCAGCTCAACTTCTGGTTGGGAGCAGGGCAGAATGGGATTTGAGCTCAGGGAATGGGTTAGCCATAGTTAGGTTGGGTACTTATTCTCTTCTTTTAAAGGTATGCCCACATTTCTCCTCACCTCCCTAGAATACATTGCGTGGACAGGCTTGCCTGTTCCATACAAAGTTGTTCCTTACTGTAGGTGACAGTCCATTTGGACCCAGACTCAAGGAAGGGATACTGAAAGGGTCTCAGCTGGCCCTGTCCGAGAAGCTTAGCTCTATTGGCATATTACGAAACACACTTAGTAAATGCTTGGGTTTTACATCTGCGGGGAGGTCCAGGGTGCCGTGTCGGTTACTGGAAAAGCAACTACTTCCTAACAGGTCCATGTGGTTTTCTGTCCAGGTTGCCAGGCCATTTATTGATACTAAAGCTGTCAGCCATTTTTCTCCACTCAGAAACAAACTAAACCAATACAAATAAATCCCCGACGAGAAGAAAGGTAGTAAAAATCCCGCCTGGATCTTACGATTAGGATGAGTGATTTTGCAGGGTAATATGGTAATAACTTTGTTCTAGGATTTTCGTTTATGCCCTTAGATAGGGATATTTTAAAAAGGCTTGTCTGTGAAAATTACAAAATTTTACTTGAGACTACAGTGTAAAAGGTGGAAAACTGTAAAGCTAAGTTACCAGAGAGGCGATGAGTGAGCCAGAGGAGAACACCGCTAACAGTGCCCAAGATGCCAGTTTCCGCGAAGTCTTGATTTATATATGACTTACACGTGTTATTTATATACATTATACACATATATACGATGTGTGTTGTGTTTTCTAAGAATTATTTTTAAAATTTTCGAGATGATTTTAGATTTGCAAGAGAGTCGTAGAAATAGTACAGAGCTCCCGTGTGCCGTCTGCCCGCCTTCCCTGGTACCGTCTCACGTAACCACAGAACATTTGTGAAAATGAAGCAATTAACCTTGATACAATACTGTGAACTGAAAACAGAGAGTTTAAAAAGTAGAGATTCTATTAGCTTCTTTGCCAATGTCCTATTACCGTTCTACAACCCGACCCAGGGTCTTGTGTTCAGTTGTCACGTCTCTGATGTGCCCTCCCGTCTGTGACCAAGGGTTGCAGCGGAAGCGGCCCGGTGGTGTACTGTTTTCCTGGTGTCGCTGACCTGGACTACCATGCCAGGTGCCTACTAGGGTTCTCTACTGTGAACGTCACTGTGTTTTCCTTCGTAATTACTGCAGATCTGCTGGAGATACTTTGAGACTATGCAAATGTCCTGTTTCCGCTTAAACTCTCGCCCACGCGTTTTCCTCTGCGTTGGCAGACCCTGCTTGTGGTGGTTACCATCGTGGTGTTCTGATAGTGATGTTCTCTCTCTTGCTTTCTTTCCACAGTTGTTCATTGGACTTCTTCTATAGGAGAGTTGTGACTTCTGGATTTATATTTTAATTATAAGATATTCAGGATAAGTACAAACATAGAACTTAAATATGTAAACCATGTTAAAATGATTCCAAATACATTAACAAAGAAAAGCCAATGGAGTTGATAACCTGTCTCAGAAAATAGGATGAACTTAAAGATACAACTTGTACTGAATAGGGTAGACCTGGTTCGACTGTTGACCTAATTTTGACTTCAGACTGAATTCAAAATTTTCTTGTAATTTTACATCTGGATTTTTAAAAAGTGTCAAAATTTACAGTACTTTGTCAAAACCTTGAATAAAGCATCTGAGACCTGGCATGATGAACACAACTGTGTTTTCTTTCTCATAAGCTCCTATTGTTCTGAATGCAAATGTGAATATATAAATATTTAGACGGATAAGCCCCAGTGCGATGCCTTGGGGAGGCATTGTGCTGGTCTCTCCATGTTGGTGCAGAATCCTTCTAAATGCTTTGGAAAATGGTGTTTTGGTGGGAGCTGGCAGATGGTGTAGTGGTTAAGGTGCTGCATGCCCACATGGTTGACCACAGTTTGAGGCCCAGACTTGGTAGCTTGAAGTCAGTCCTGGCACATCTGCATGCATGTCCAAAGTCCCAGGAGGAGGAGGATAGAGGAGAAGGGTTTGCAGCCATTCCCCCAGGGGGTGATTTCTCTTACCCGCTCACCGCCTCTGTCTCCTCTGGCGTGAATGCACAGGCCCTTTGGCAAAAACCTTTAAAAAAAAAAAATGAGATCTTGAAAACAGTTCTTTAAGGACCAGCAGTTGATGTAATGGCTATGTCGCTGGACTCCCATGTAGTTGACTGTGGTTTGAGTCCTGGACCCGGTGGCTTAAACTCATGCTGGGTGCATGTGCGTGCGTGCCCAAGATCCCAAGAGGAGAATGGAGGAGAAGGGATTATGTGGCCATCCCCCCTGCGGGGTGATTTCTTGTTTTCTGTCTCTCTGTCTCTCTTTGTCTTTCTGGCGAACACACACACCCTATAGCAAAAACCTCTCCAAAAAAAAAAAAAAAAAAAGAGGCAGGAAGGTTAAAAGGTAAAGTCGAAGAACATATATTAAATTGGCATTAAAATAGGTTAATTTTTTCCTTCCATGACAGACAGACAGCACCCCCAGCCAAGTCTTGACCTTGATCCCCCGACCCCCGCCCCATGCTGGCTAACCCCAGGGCAGGGCAATGCGTGCCTGGTATTTAGGGACGTCTGCCAGTGCTAACCGTGTGGGTCAGCCTCCCAGAGCATCACGTTACTGATACAGCACCATCTGTCCCTAAACTGGTACTGCTTAAAATTGGGGATTGGGACAAACAGACAGCGTAATGCTAACATCGCTGGACTCCCACATAGTCGACCACAGTTCAAGTCCCGGACCCTGGTGGCTTAAAACTCACGCTGGGTGCATGTGCGTGTGTGCCCAAGATCCCAAGAGGAGAATAGAAGAGGAGGGGTTGTGGCATGGACATTATCCCTGGGGAGTGATTTCTTGTTTTCAGTCTCTGTCTCTTTGGCAAGTACGTGTGCTCTATAGAAAAAAAAAAAAAAAAAAAAATGGGGGTTGGGAGGGGGAGGATAGGTAGTTAATGGAGCTTTTCTTTTTGTATTTTATTTTCACTCTTATTAAGAGTTTTCTTTAACTCATAGAAGTTGAGTTTAGGGGCCAGCAGGTGTTATGGAGGTTGAGGGCACTGATTTCCCACATGACTGACCTTGGTTCGAGTCCTGGACCTGACCTCACTTTCTCTCTCTCTCTCTGTCCCTCTCTGTGCAAATTAATAATAATAATAAATCAAATAAAGTTTAAAAAATAATTCTTTAAAAAGAAAAGGGTCAAGTCCATGAAAAGCAACAATTTCCTAATCTCCTATTTTTCCTTCTCTAAAGGCCACCACTTTCTTTTTTTCTTTAAATTAAATTTATTTGTTTATTTTAATTTGACCAGAGAGGGACAGAAAGAGAGAGGGAAAGTGATAAAGCAAATTTAAATTACACAGTTGTATTACTTCTTGATTTAGCAGTTTTTAGACTTTTCTACTGATTTTCTGCTGTAGATGATGAGGATGTCTCTCTACCCCATCACACTCACATCTCAGTCTCGTCCTCCTGTCTTCTCAGTAGTTACATGGTCAGTTCATTGCACATTATTGTGACTGTAAGTGCTATGTAGAGATCAGCCATGTAATAAACTAATTTCTTTTCCTTTCTTGAACAACAACTTGTTTTTCCTGGAATTAATTGTCTAATTTATTGTTTGCTTATATACTTATGACTAATCTGACCCAAAACCCTGTATGCATTGTGTGGTTATACATGTATTTTATTACTTTCAAATTCCTGCAGAAGTCTGTCCTGGAGCCTTCTGACTGGAGGACTGGGATGCGCCTGATTCGTGCTGTCATCCTGGGATCTATTTTCACTTATGCTGTGCACTCTCTTTGCCTCTTGGTTGGCTTCCTATTTCCCATATCCTACATTTTTCTCTTTTTTAGTTTATGACCTCGTTTTGGTAGAGCATATTTTCCATTGATTTCTAGGAAAAGAGTATATGGGAAATAATTTGTTTTAGATTGTGCATATTTGAAAATGTCTGTTTCGCCCTGCCACTGGATTGCTAGTTTGGTTGGGTATAGCATTCTCAGAAATTATTACCTTAAGGATTTTGAAGGCATTCATTTATCTTGTCATTTCCAGAATTGCTATTAAAAAGTCACTCTGATTCATGATCCTTGTATAAAACCCTAGTTTTAGTCTCTGGAATCTTGTGAGCTATTTTATTTTCTGTCTTCTCTGTTCTGAAAATTTGTTTTTAAATTTTGTTTAACTTTATTTATTCATCCATTTATTTATTTTAATTTGACTGGAGAGGGATACCGTGAGAGTGAGAGCAAGAGAGAGAGAGGGGAAGTGAGAAAGCAAGCCACCAGGTCGGGGACCCGAACCATGATTAGCCATGTGGGAGTCCAGCACCCTTAACCACCACACCACCTGCTGGCCCCTGTTCTGAAATTTCTTAATAGTGTAGCTTTGGTGTTGGTTTATTTTTATCCATTTCATTCTGGAAACTCATGCCCTTAAATCCTATGGAATTGTTCTGATTTGTTTGTTTGTCAATATACCTTTCTCAATTTTCTGTTAACACTTTCTTTAATTATTACTATTTTAAGCATAGACCTCAGACTAATTCTTTAATTTTATCTTCTCTCTTTTCTTTCCATTTTGGCATTTTTGCTATACTTTATAGGAGATTTATACAACTTTATCTTCCAACTCTTCATTAAGTTTTGTATCTCTTTTTTTTTTTTTTTTTGAGAGATTTTCACTGTAGGGCGCATGTGCTCGCCAGACAGACAGAGAGAGACATAGAGACAGAAAGCGAGAAATCACCCCCCAGGGGGGATGGTCACGCCACAATCCCTTCTCCTCCATTCTCCTCTCGGGATCTTGGGCACGCACGCACACACGCCCGGCGTGAGTTTTAAGCCACTGGGTTCGGGCCGTGAACCGCGGTCGATTACGTGGGAGTCCAGCAACATAGCCATTACACTAACTGCTGGTTCCCTTGTATCTCTTTTTATCATGTTTTTAATTTTTGAGGCTTTTTTGTTTCATTTCTTTTTTTTTTATTAGAGGTTTTTGCCATAGGGTGCGTGCGCTCACCAGACAGACAGAGACAGACAGAGAGACAGAAAGCGAGAAATCACCCCCCAGGAGGGATGGCCACACTGCAGTCCCTTCTCCTCCGTTCTCCTCTTGGAATCTTGGGCACGCATGCACACGTGCCTGGCATGAGTTTAAGCCACCGGGTCCAGGACTCAAACCGCAGTCGACTACGTGGGAGTCCAGCGACATAGCCATTACGCTAACTGCTGGTCCCCCCAATGTGTTTTTCAAATCACCTGGGCTGGGATTCAGATTGCTGTCAGCCATGTGGTAGCCCATTCACATAACCACTAGGCTATGAGGCTTGCTTCACAATATGATTTTATTCTGCTGGAGATCCAAGAGTGTTTCTAGAAAAAGCTTTCTAACTTGTTTAATGATTTTTTCGTGATCTTTCTTGGAGGGACAGACATTTTATCTCTAGAATTGGGAAGAGGGCACCATCTGCGTAGCTCCCTCGTGCTGGCACAGGAAGGTGTTGCAGCCGCTGCAGCTGTTCTCGGCGGCACCAGTGGGCACGTCTCATGACGACGCATGCGGCCCAGTGAGTGCCTGCTGCTGAGCAAGGGTAGGCACTGCTCAGGTAAGGACACGTTTCCTCCCAGCCGACACCTACAGGCCCTATTTTTGATTTTTTAAAAATGTGCTTTGAGTGCATGCGCTTGCTGGAGAGAGGAGGGAACGTGAGAGACCACCTCCTGTGAGGATGTTCATGCTACACCCCTTCTCCCATTTTTCCTTGAAATGTTGGTCTCATGTGTATAAGCACCCTGTGTGTTTTACAAGCCATTTTTTAAAAACTTTTTATTACTATTATTAATTAATAGTACCAGAGACATGCCTACCATAGAAGAGAAAGTGAGAAAACAAGAAATCAAGCTGCCAGGTTCAGGACTTGAACTGCAGTTGAGATCTTGTGGGAGTCCAGCAACCTAACCACCAAACTTCCTGCTGGCCCCAGGTCTGGGACTCTTAACTGTGCAGTCAGCCGTGCAGGCTCGGGCTGCCTTCACCATCACATCCCCAGCCATCCCTGCTTGCCCTTTCATTTGGCAACATGCTTCGTCTAGTGAGGAGTAGGGTACAGCCTGACGAAATGCAGGCTTCCCAGTGAAATTTGGGTTTCAGATAAACAGGACATGCTTTATTTGGTATTGTGACCCAGCCAATGTTTGGAACATGCTCATAATAAAAGGTGATTTCTTAAAAAAAAATTTATCATCATCATTATTTTATTTCTAATTGGACCAGAGAGACAGACACAGAGAGAGAGGGACAGAGGGAAAGAATGAGGAAGCAAGACATCAGGGCCGGGACTCGAACCATGGTTGGCCACGTGGGAGTCCAGTGCCTTTAATCACCACAACACCTGCCAGCCCCAAGATTATTATTTTTTTATCTGAAATTCAAATCTAAGTAGGAGTACTGTATTTTTTTAAAGAGATATATTTACTTATTTAATTCCATTGGTTCTCATTACTTTTTAAAATTTGAGACAGAGGGGAAGCAAGAAAGCAAGCCGCCAGGTTTGGCGGTCAACCATGTGGGAGTCTAGCACCTTCAACCACCACCCCACCTGCCAGTCCCCAAGTACTGTATTTATTTAATTAAAGTTTTTCTATTTGTGTAACTGTAGATTCACATG